ACACACACCATCCTGGGAGGATCCAGGTTACACAGCTATCCGCCTGGATTCCCTGAGGCATAGCTTGAGATGAGGGTTCTTGTGCCAGTGATTGACTGGGGGGGGGGGGGGTGCTCTGAGGGGGAAATGAGGGGGTGCGGGGGGAGCAGGGACAGGAACGGGGAGAAAGCCGAGCACGGGGTGATAAAACCCCAGGCCTGGCACGCAGCCTGCTGCGCCTGCAACAACGCCCCTCCAGTTCTCCAGAGCCGGGAGGTGAGTGTGGGTGAATGTGCTAGAATTACACAAAAATGGTGACATACTAAAAAGTGGACAGTGTCTGGGACAACATCCTGTCCATGATGTTGTTAATAAAAATAAGTCAGAGGTCTCACAGCTGATCAGAGGTAGAATTTGCGTTGTCCTAAAATTTAAATAGAAATGTATTACTACCTAACCCATAAGTTCAAAGAGACTGAGGCAGTGGCCACAACATTCCACATAAGAGTAATGTTATTGACATAAAAAAGAAAAACAATATTCTAGCCCCCACCCACTGAGGTGACTGGGATTTCAGCGCTCAGTATACTGTATCCATATCAGACATAAAATGATGTTTTCCCAGAAATGAAGAAGGGTTGTAAATGGTTTCCCATACCCGGATGATAACAAATACTTAAACTTTTAAACATTAACTATTTCCTTGCAAGATCTGGATCTGTTTCATACACTTGCACTTCTTATCATCTGGCAGAAACACTAAGTTAAACCAAAGGACTTGGATGCATGCATATAAGCATAACCAATGGACGCAGACAACAGGGGGTGAGGGTGCGGGCATGATTGGGGGGATGGGGGGCCATGGGAGGATAAGGACACATATGTAATACCTTAATCAATAATAAAAACATAAGAGTTTTCATCTTGAAATGCGGTTTTTAACACTCTCCACTGTTTCAGCTCCTTCATATTCCAAAAGCCCTGGAGAATACCCGCCAAAGCGTGAAGCTCATGGAGGCTTCATCCCGCCTCTGCGCCGGCTTCCTGCCTCTGCGCCGGCTGTCGCAGCGGGTGCAATGCAATGCACACAAGGACGCCAAGAGGTGCAGACCCAGACTCGAGTATGAGTGTGGGTGTGAACACGTCCACACACAAAGCGGGCGCAGATTAACCCGACAGACTCCTCAGGCTCCGTGCCCCCGGGAGGCGCCCAGCCACTGGCGATACCGCCACCTGGACCATTGCATCTTCCTGAGTTTGTCTAACTTAACATACCCTCCCAACTGCTCCTGCGAGTCTGGTCACAGCCCAACCTTCTCACCAGGTGTAAGCACCTCAGTAAACCACTGCTTGTTGGCTGTGACCATGGTCAATCCATCCCACCCCGCTCGGGCCAACACGTCGCTCTGAGGCCTCTTCCTGCATGGATGTGTTTTAATTGAGTTTCAACTTTACATCACGTAGGACTCATATCATGAGTTCTTCTCTTAAAATGTTGACCTTCAACAACCCCCGCTTCTCATCATACTGATAATAGGCTAGCATTTCTTTACCTGCACAAGTTTGAGATTCCAGGGTGGGTGGTTTATCAGACCTTCTGCCTGAACCTGGCGGGCCACCGCATCTTGTAGTTCCACGTAAGTGTTACTGTCCAGCTGTAGTCCTGGGAACAGGTCGTTGATTAAGCTGAGGAACAGGGGTTCGTCTTCATCAACCTACGACGGCAGAGAATAAACTTACTCCTTCCGTCAACAAACGTGCACCCGACCAGCTAGGACGCACACAGCACCCTCACTTCATGCCTAGAAGAAGCCAGTCCTCTCCTCACCAGACTTGTCACCTCCAGGACTCGCTCCCGAACACACCACTGAAGCCATGCTACCTGCAGCATCGCAGCCAAGTTCCCTGGGATTCGACGTCCTCCACAGTCTCCTGCTCCAAGGTGACTTCACCTCAGTCCTTTGTCCTATGAATGTTCTGCTTCTCACAGCCAGGTATACACACCAACGTAAAACATGCAGTTAACAGTCCCTACCCCATGAAAATAGAATAGTAATATGTCTTCACTATAAGGATATAGCCATGCATGACTCATCCATCCAACATCAGCTGAAAAACCATCATCCGAGTTCTGACTTCTCCTAAGCAGCAGGTTTGAGTAAACTGAGTCTAAACCTTCTTAGCTACACCTTTAATGCCTAGATCACCCCACTCATAGCGGCTGACCACGTCTGATCTCTCCTTACTTTCTGGGGCGCCCCTGATGCTTTCTGGGGTGCTTGTCTAGGAGTCTCAAGGATACCATTATCCCAGGGAAGGAGCAGAGGACTCGGCATCAGAAAGTCTTGTGGATTTTTGTCCCAGCTTCTCAGCTGACTGGGATTGCGGGCAGGTTCTCCAGACTCTGAGTCCTGTGCCCTCACGGGTCATCCACGTCCCACAGAGTGGCTGTGAGACACAAACCAGACAATACCCCCGAAAAGGCTGTGATGGCAATGAACCACCCGGTGTTAGTTTTTGTAACTGCAGTGTGAGCTTCCCAAGGACCAGTTCTTCCTCGACCTTGGTCTCCCAGGGCATGGGCACAATACGCAGCAGAGAGAGTCCTTTGAATAAATACCAGGAGAACCTGTCCATCAGCTGGCTGAGAACAACCTGGCTCCGGTGGCAAGAATGAAAGCAGTGTGACAACTGCTGTCATCTCCACAGCAAGCTTTCTGTGCATTTTGGGAAAACAGAAATGATGTTGATGTTTGGGGACAGACATAGCTGAGATAAGCTAAGCATAGACAGAGCAAAAGGTCTCGTGGTGCCCTGTGAATCCAGGTCTCCATGTTGGGAACATGCTTCATTATGAATAATGGCCAAGTACTGGACTGAAACCTGGGGGCTGGAGCCCACGGATGAGGCCTGTTCTAGGGCACACCACTGACAAGGGGGTGCACTTCCGGCTCACGCTGGTCAAACTGGAAGCACAGTGGTAGGTTCACACTCCCACTGTTGTTATAAGTATTCATGTTCGCAGCCTAACATGAGCCACCCCCACCACCCCACCCTCCCCCACACATACACACACACAAACACACACCCCCACATCAGCCAAGTAGAAAGAAACCAGGTCACATTCTTGAAAGAGGAGTGAAGTCAGAGAAGAAAGATACCAGTTTAGAAAGGTTCATATCTCTTAGTCCTCTCATGACGATGCTTAATTCACTGTCTTCCGGTCTGGCTCTTTTCTGAGATCCAAGGGTCCTCAATACAGATAGGATATTTCTCAACCCGAAGTCATAGTGAACCTAAGATGGGGGGAAGGGGGAAAGATTATTCAATTGAAAAGCTCTCAATGTAGACCCACTGTGTACAAATAGGTATTCTGATCCATATGTACTGTAGCTTTGGAGTGGCTGAGCTGCAAAGTTTCAGTAGCTGAATTCTTCCACGTGTCCTTTGACTGAAAAACGATCCTTCCATTGGAAAGATCAAGCTGTATGATAGTGTCCACACTTTTAAATATCTTTGGAGGATAAGACAGTCTGATTACAGTCTGAGAGGCAAACAGATTTAAAATGCATAACCAACAGGTTATGTGCTATGTGACTCCATTTCTGTAATGTTTCTGAAAGAAAATGATAGAGGTGGGGAAAAGATCAGTGGCTACAAGGGGACAGGGACTTGGGAGAGAGGGGGCTGTGGCTATAGAGGGGTAGTATGAGGGGACCTGGTGGTGATGGGACAGTTCTGTATGTTGGTTGTGGTGGTGGTTATACAAATCTACTTATGTTATATAATTGCATAGAAACACACACACACACACACACACACACACACACACACAGTGCATGATCAACTGGTGAAACCTTAATGAACTCTGGATTTTACCTATGGCCATTTTCTGGGTCTGTTATTGTACTATGGTTATAAGATGCCAACTTTGAAGGAAGTAGGGTGATGAATACATGGGACCTCCTAGTACATTTCTTGGTAATTTTTGTTGAATTTATAAATATTCAAAAATAAACAGGTATTCAAAATACATAACCAACAGGTCAAAGTAATTAAATTTATTTTAGAAAAGAATCAAAGAGATTTTCAAAATGAATAGCATTTTATCAAGGTAAAATTGCAAAGTAAGAAATCAAGTTCTATAGTTAGGGGGAAAATAAATGGACCAAGTTACCTGCTTGGTAAGTTGTTCCTCACACAGTTTGTAAAGAACATAAAACTTTTGAGCCAAGATAACATTCTCAAGGAAACCACAGCTTGCAAGTTTAACTCGCATAATGATCTGGAAAATTAATATAGTGAGATTTTCAACAATGTGCATGAAAAACAAGTAAAAATGTAAATTATGTTTTTAAATCCCAATGCATACCTGTCTATCAGGAACCATCATAGCAACAGTTCTAAACTGAATTTTTAAGTTCTCGGGTAGTTCCTGGCGCCCAGCATATCCGGGGTTCTAAAAGTTAAAATTATTTAATTTTTATTGCTGATATAAATTTTATTTCATGCATAGAAACACATTTCAGATCCCTAATCCAGATCCTAAGGTGGCATTGAGAAAAATATTAGATTCATAAAACCTCCCTCTTTTCTCAAAAATGTGTATTGGACCATCGATATCTATCAATGCCACATCACTCCCTTTGACATAGTTCCAGTTTCATTATATTAACACAGACACACATATTACTTTGTGAGCAAAAATTAAGCATCTGTTTATTGGTTAAGAAAACAGAAAAGAAACTGAATAAATATCTAGATAGTTATGATTGAAATGTTACTGAAATAAGAAGAAAATGCAGGGTTCCATACTGATGAGTTTACTTAGATAATTTTTATTTCCTCTCTTTATCCTGTTCAGTCGGAATTACTGAGTCCTTTGGCAGACAAAGTACCATTAAAGAAACCCATGGTGGTGAAGGGAAATAAAGATGGGAGTGAAGGGGAAAATACTGAAGAGGACAATGTGAGGTGGAAAGGAAGCGAAGGCCTCATGAGTAGCTACAGGCTGAGGACAGGTCAGACCCAAAGGTCCCAAGGGTAAGGTTAGGGGTCCAAAGTGTAATAATTTAAGATTTCATCTTATTAGAAATTACTGCATAGGCTACAACTTTCATCACCTAAAGACATGGAGGATTTGAATTGTAAGGGATTTGGTGATGTAATCTTGTCCAGCTCTGCCTCCAATGCAGACACGCCATCTAGAATAGCGGTCGCCAACCTTTCAGACCTCATGGACCACCGATGGTCCACAGACCACTGGTTGGCAACCGCTGATCTAGAATGTCCCTGCTATACGTTTGAACATCTGTAGCTCACTGCACTGTCCACATAGTAGCCAGTAGGCATGTATGACTATTTACATTTTGATTAATTAAAATTAGGTAAAAATAAAAATACAATTAATTGGGGAAAGAAACCCTCATTCTCTATCAGATATTGTCAATGAGCCAAATACCTTGCTGACACAGGATACAGAGATTGCTGGTTGCCTACCACTACTTCTCCTTTCTCCTTCCTCAGTCACACAAGCCCAGTTGCCAGCTAGAAGCATCACTACCCAGATTTAAAAAACGATGTTTCCCAGCCTGCCTTGCAGCTGGTGTGATTAAATTCTACACCATGAGACCCAAAGGGACACACTGTATGAGATAACCTTGTTGCTTAAAGGGAGTTAATTCAATCAATTGACTGCAACAAAGCAGAGATACTTCAGTAGCGTCTTAGGTCACAAGGTGACCTAGATGTTGGAAACCATGATGGAGTAGAAACACAGGAGAAATCTTAAGAGAAAAAATCCTTACGTGTTGTCACTATTTTTCGTGTCTCAGCTATTCACAGCCTAATCTAGCATCTAATTGATATTTCCAATATTATTCTTAATCCAGGGAGAATGTTAAACTTTTAAATTATTCTCTGCCACAGTTATCACACTGAGCGAATTTCTTCATCCCATTGTCTGAGTTAGTTATAACTGATCACTTCAGGATTATTAGTAACTGCTTTCCTGGATGTCTGCTTACAGTGAAACTTATCAGAAACTTTCCTTATTTTGCTTCCTATGATTTATCTACTAGGACACTTCAAACTCCGAGTACTTTGCATTATCTTGCAACTTAGAGATAACGGAATAAAAAACTTATGTATGAACACATTAAGTAAAACTGGTTCATTAACTTCACTGCTCCAAGTCATAAAAAAAAAAATCTATTCGTGCCTTTGGTTTTCTATCTGTGCAACATTGTATCTCAAAGCTCTGCCCTCAAACACGTGGTAAATGAACGTCCACAATTCTCTGGCATAGGAATTATTTTGGATATTTTAAGTCATTTCCAGGATCTTTTATTATGTTTCAGAGAAAACCAAGCGTAGAGTGTAAGTAATGAGATCGATGTCAGACAATAACGTCTATCTCTAACTGGCTCTGTGACCTGAGCTAGTTTTTAAATCTCTGCCTCGGGTACCTCATTATAAAATATGCACCATACAAAATGCGACACATGACTACACTGCCATGTAAACTGCTTTGACTAATGGCTGTGCCTTGTGTCACTTCTGGACAGAAACCCTGAGAGGCAGAGCATAATTCTTTATGTCCTGCTTTTCCTCTGCTATGGCCACCAGCAAAGACTGAGACAGGTCCGGAGTAAGGACTTATAAAGCAGGCCTGCCCTCTCCACCCCGGCCCAGCAACAGGGAGAAACAAATCTTTGATGCTTTCAGCCACTAAGGTTTTGGGATTGTTACTATAGCTGTCCTGTCTGATACTAGTACATAAAGCACTCAGCCCATCACCTTACACATAATAAGTGCTCAATAAACAGTAGCTATTAGTATCATTAACATATTGCTATTTTATCTTCTGTCTTGTCTATTTTTACTACTCAAAAAAATCCCATGATAGGAAAGAATTGCTCCTGACCCCTGGATAGACAGTTATTTACCCAGGAGTAGATGCCTTGTTTTACTTAAGTCCATAGCAGTTAAACCAACCAAACTGCATTTAAAACCCATGTTCTCACCATTGTTAAGAAGATTCCAAATTCTGGATTTAAATCAACACAATCACCATCAGAAAAGATGAACTGCTTTTTTCTCTCTTTTCTTGCTGTCAAAACAATATAAATTTGTTGGGCTGCCACCGATAAGACGGGCAATTCAATTCTGTTAAACTCATCAAAACAGCCCCAGGAACCTGACTGCGCCAGACCTGGTATGAAAAACAGTTGATTTGAAAAGTTTTACTTCTTAATAGCAATCATCTCGCCAAAGCGCCTGCAAACAATTAAATGTTGAAATACAAGGTATATCAAGTTTCATATCTGCTGTTTAGAAAGACACATGGAATTCCAGTGATATACAGGAGTTTCATTGTACATCAGCACCAAGACAATGAAAATAGTTCACTGCCAAAATGAAAGGGCAGACGCGCCGTTGCATCCGGGGATGCTGAGGGTGATAAAATTGGATTCAATCTGTAAGGGTCATCTCCGGTGGGGATGGGGGTGGAAGGAGCCGTGATGTTAGGGGAAACTGACCAAATAAGGAATGCCAGAGTCAGATCGCTCCGTTCCTTTCCTGTTAAAATGAGAGAACTATGAGGAGGCCGGGAAGGACAGAGAATGGCCGAAGGGATTTCTATTTATTGCTTACAAAACCCAGCACAAAGAAAGACCTGGATGGATATTGGGAACATTGCTCCTGTCTCATCTCTAAGGATGAAAACCTTCATTATCTTTACCTGTATGAAATGCTCTTCTTTCTTTTATTACCTTCCCCTCCCCCTCTAGTTTCTCTTCTCTCTCCTCTGGGAATTTCCATTACACAGATGTTGGAACTTGGATAGCTACTGTTAGGGGCAAAAAAATAGAATATTGGGAACTAGCTTTGGTTATGGGAAATATTAGTCATGCGCTGTTAACTGTGATTGCCTTGTTCTGGTTAAAAAAAGGACATTCTAAACTGCCTGGGAATTGTACCTTGGACCTAGGAGTCAACCTTGGAATTCGGTCCATTCTCATCCAAGAACTGCCTATTATCATGGAAAGATTAACAACCTTGTTGCCCAAACAATGTAGTCCCACCTCAGCCTGCACAGCCTGCTTCCCCATGCCTGCAATCCCTACTTCCCCATGTAATCCTTGTCCTACCCTGTATAAGCAGCTGGTCTATGGGGGGTTGGGGGGGGGGCGGGGCCGGGGGGATGCAGAGCAGATTTTTGTGGATGCCCTGCTGCTCTCCCATCCTGCCGGCAGGACTGGAATAAACGCTCATATATGATTCAACCCTGTCTCTGCTGAATTGGACCAAGTAGTGACAGGCAGCCCGGACCCCTTGGTTGTCTGGTTTCACTACTCCTATGACCCTGAAGTTTTTTTGTAAAATTTCCCATTTCCTTTTGCAATGTATTCTCTTGGCCACATATTCCAATTCAAGAGAGATTTTTTTTTCCATATCCAAATTTTCCAATTGTTATGTTTTCATAGTAGCCTGTTTCTTTAATTGGCTACATGTGATACATTCTTGAATCTCTCTAAGCTATTCATTTATTTTTGAATTTTCTTCTGTTTTCTCTGTTGAACAGTTTACTGGTCAGTAGGTCTCCACTGCTTTGGATGCGTCCCTAATTCCTTCAAATATTTTAGGGGACTTTGTTATCGCTGCATAAGTTGCATTTCCTCTTCCGGAATACAAATTCCTGTCTGCGGGAGGCATGCCTGCCTCTGGTGATTGGAGGGAAGGGATGGAGCCTCAGAGGGTTGCTCGCCAGGGCTGGGGCCGGCAGTCTGTCTGGCCTGGTGCACTGCCTGCCCCTCTGGCAGGAGCCCGCCTCTGGGGTTGGTCTTTGTCAGCATTCCCACCTCAGACAGCTGTGCTACTGCTTTTGTGTGAAGGAAACACACTTTTTCTTTGCCTTCTGCTCTCATTTTGGTATCATGGGGTTTACCTTGCACTCTAGTCTGCTTCTCCCAACCACCCCCGACCCTCAAGCTGGGAGTGATCCACAGAAGAACCCTTCTCTTTGATTATAAAATTATTCTCAGGGCTCAAAAATGTTTGACAGACAGGCGACTAAACAGAATAATATAATGAATACCCATGTACCCACCTATCAAATCCTAACAATTTGTTTCAGATTTTATTCTTTAGAATCATGTCAAAAGTACTTTTCAAGTCCAGGTATATCCCTCTTGAATCCACACTCCTTCCTTCTCCAGAGGTAACTTCTACCCTGAATTTGATACCAATGGTTCCTATGCATGCTTTTAAGCTATTGCTCTTATGCATGTATTCATGAACAGTATATATTTCACACGCTCAAAGTTTATATGTGTGTCTATTTATCTAGCTAGCTAGCTATAAAGTGCTGTGCATATCCTCCTGAGCTGGGTGTGCAATCTCATGCTATCTGTTATGGAGATGTTACTCACATCCCACTGAAAGGAAGGGCTAGAATTCAGTGATGGCGAACCTTTTGAGCTCAGCGTGTCAGCATTTTGAAAAACCCTAACTTAACTCTGGTGCCGTGTCACATATAGAAATTTTTTGATATTTGCAACCATAGTAAAACAAAGATTTATATTTTTGATATTTACTTTATATATTTAAATGCCATTTAACAAAGAAAAATCAACCCAAAAAATGAGTTCGCTTGTCACCTCTGACACGCGTGTCATAGGTTCGCCATCACTGACCTAGTGCATGGGTCAATGCTCAACCACTGAGCCACACCGGCCGGACTCTTTTTACTATCTCTATATACATATCTATGTAATACATATCTTTGGTTTAAATAAATGCAATCATGCTATCTGTGTTTTTGTGAGACTTGCTACTTTCCCTCTAAACTGTGAGACTGCGCTACATCAATGCATCGTGCTGTAGTTACTCGTTTTTACTGCTACACAGCATTGTTATGCATATGATATATAAATCGGATGTCCACAACCTATGTATTTATGTGTCCAGCCCACCACAGAGGACACTCGAGTTATTGCCAGGTGTTGGCTGTTACAAGCAATGCTGCCGTGAGCATTTGCATACAGGCTCCCAGTACTTAAGTGCAGTTCATCTGAGCTGAGACCAGAAGGTGGGAGACTGACAATACACGTGTAAGCTTTTTTTATTCTAAAAAAGGTTTACACTGCCACCAGGAAGGAGTGGGTGGCTGTTTCTGCTGCTTGACACCTTGCCAATGGTAGTTAAAAAAAAAACAAAAAAAGTCACACTGCCCTAGCTCAGTGGTCGGCAAACTCATTAGTCAACAGTGCCAAATATCAACAGTACAACGATTGAAATTTCTTTTGAGAGCCAAATTTTTTAAACTTAAACTATACAGGTAGGTACATTGTTATTAACTTAATTAGGGTACTCCTAAGGCTTAGGAAGAGCCACACTCAAGGGGCCAAAGAGCCGCATGTGGCTCGCGAGCCCCAGTTTGCCGACCACGGCCCTAGCTGGTTTGGCTCAGTGGATAGAGCATCAGCCTGCGGACTGAAGGTTCCTGGATTTGATACTGGTCAAGGGCACATGCCCGGGTTGCAGGCTCGATCCCCAGTACAGGGCATGCAAGAGGCAGCCAACCAATGATTCTCTCTCATCGTTGATGTTTCTGTCTCTCTCTACCTCTCCCTTCCTCTCTGAAATCAAAAATATGTTTTTTTAAAAAAGTCACACTTAAATTTTTCTTAACCTGGTGTGTACAAAATGGAATCCTTTTATAGTGTGCAATTCTTTGCTGGTCATTTGGTTTTCTCCACTTGTGTAATACCTATTTCAGACTTTTCCTCATTTTCCTATTGAATTATCTCTTTCTCAATGAGTCATAGGCATTACTCATGTATGGGGGATACTAATCCTTTGTAGGTAATATATATTGCTAATGCCATTTCCAAATTTCAGGCATGGCTTTTCTCTCTCTTTTTTTGATACTCACAGACGAAGAGATGTTTTTAACTCAGGGTAGGGAGTGTGTCAATCTTTTCTTTATGGTTTGTGATTCTTGTATTAAAAATCCCTTTCTACTCTAAAAAGAAAGATATTTTCCTTTATTGCCTTCTCAAAACCCAAACAATTTGCCTCCCACATTTAGACGTTTAATTCCCAGAACTGAGTTTTATACAGTGTATGGTTTAGGCATCCAATTTTTATATATGTAGGGACCCAATCTCCTTTGTTAAATATTGATCAACTTCTGTCCCAGAACAATTTATTGTAAAGTCTGTCTCTCCGTCACTGATTTACAGTAATACCTGTGCCACCTGTCAAGTGTCCTTGGCCTATTTTTTCATTTTCTATTACATTCCATTGGTCCAGTCATCAATCCTGCACCAATACCACACTCTCGAAATTACATTCTAAATGATATCTTTCTGAAGTTTTCATTTTCTAACTGCTTTTTGTGGTTATAAAAATAAAATTTATTTTGTGTTGATTTTATAGTCTAGGAAATTTGCTAAATTCTATTTTTCTATAGATTTTGTTGAATTTTTTAAAAGTGTACCCTACCCTTTGTGAATAATGAAATTTTGCATTTCTTTCTTTCCAATCTTTGTATTTTTGTTGTTGTTCCTTACTGCAGGATCTGAAGTACAGTGATGACTAGAACAAATAATAACAGGAGTCCTTGTCTTATACCTCATCTCAAAAAGAATGCTTTCAAATGTTCAGGTTATGATGTTTGCTGTGGACACCCTTTATCAAATGAGTCATGTGGGGGAATATCTAGGGCAGTGATGGCGAACCTTTTGAGCTCGGCGTGTCAGCATTTTGAAAAACCCTAACTTAACTCTGGTGCCGTGTCACATATAGAAATGTTTTGATCTTTGCAACCATAGTAAAACAAAGATGTATATTTTTGATATTTATTTTATATATTTAAATGCCATTTAACAAAGAAAAATCAACCAAAAAAATGAGTTCGCGTGTCACCTCTGACACGCATGTCACAGGTTCGCCATCACTGATCTAGGGGAAGGACCTAAGGAACCAGAGTAAGGAATCTGAGCGGAAATCTGCTTTGAATGTTTGAGAAACATCAGAAAGGTCAATATGGCTACAGGAGGGAGAGCAAGGGGAGCAGAGAGTAGGAGGAGATGGGTCAGAAGGTCAGAGTCAGACCGACACAATGGGGAGGGCAGGAGTGACTGTAAGACAATGCAGGACCACGTGAGGGGTTTGGCTTTTACTCGGAGTGAAGCCGCTGGGCAGCTCTCAGCAGAAGAGGGTTGTGATCTGACTTCCATGTAGAAGGGTTGCTGTGGCGCTGACCTGAGGCTGCAGGGGAGGGGACAAGAGTAAACACAGGGTCCAATTAGGAGGCTTATTGGCACAGTACAGGTGAAGGGTGACAACTGGCTTGATGACAGCAGTGGGGATCAGAGGTGCCCAGATTTGGGGTGCGTTCTGAAGGCAATAGTGTTTGCTGACAGGACGGATTTGAATATGAGAGAAAGACTAAAGGTAAGTCTCAGATTTTCCATCTGCGCACCTGGAAGAATGACATGGCTACTCCGCTGGATGGGAAAGGCTGAGGATGGAGTGGGCGAGGGGAAGGGAGATCACACGTTTAGACCTACTAGACATTTAAGTGGAGATGTCAGGTAGTAGATATCAGTTGTCTATACAGATCTGAAATTTCAGGAAGTCCAAGCTAGAGATACAAATTTGATCGCATAGGTAGTACTTAAGGAGAATGCATGTAGGTAGAAAAGAGAGGAAGGCCAGGCACTGAGTTCTAAAGTCAGGCGTGCTCTCTAACCTCTTCTCTTTGTCTATCTGAAACCACCGCCTACCTATCTTTCAGGATTTCCTCAGAATTTCCCATCTGCTGATGGCCCTCCTCCTTGTTTCCCAGTGTGGCTATGCTTTAAAAAAAAAAAATCAATCATTTCAATGGGATTTAATGCTAGAAGGGAAGTCACATGTGTTTTGTAATCTTCATCTTATCTCCTCCACCATTGTTTCAGGCAGTAATAAATTGGTTCCATTTTCATAAACCACTACACATTCAGCTCATGGCAATAATATTGAGCCAGTGCAACGGATGGTATCCAGCCATTTCTGACCATAAAAAATGGCACTATCATATGCATCAACTTATCCTAATTTTGGTTCTGTGGGAAAACATCACTTTAGATATAGATCAGAAAATTAAAGTGCAATAAAAATAAAATCACAGAAAAATAGTTTAAGTGTTTGACACTTGCCTTTAAAAATCCTTCCGAGCCCTCGGAAATCCATTTGATCTGAGCAGTTAAACACGACCACGTATTTTCCCAAACATCGGCCCATGTCTTTCGTGGTCTCTGTTTTGCCAGTGCCCGCAGGTCCTGCTGGGGCACCTCCCATGTTCATGCCCAAAGCCTGTGCTAACGTGATATAGCATCTGCAGACGTCAGTCAGACAAAGCATGGTGAGTACGGGGTAACACGAGACAGCCAAGTGCAAGCAAAAGTCCAATGTCATTGGAATGGACCTGTTACTTTAGAATGTGAGCAGCTCACCTATGAGAGGCAACCAAACAAGGCGGGCGCACCTGACAGTCGTTAGCAGTGGGGCAGTGAGTGACTGCAAACTTTTCTCGGGACAAACTTCTAAACTCCGCAACAAGCTGGCACGAGCCAACTGCCACACACCACGGCAAATGGCTTGACTATGAAAGGTTTCATTCGCTTAGATAAGTGTAAGGAATAGTCTAATGACTCTCCTTGGGCCTGTGACCCAATTTCAGTGACATCTGTTCCGGATGAAAGTAAAACTTAGTAAAGCTTTGTGAGCCATGAAGCTTCACGTGTATACGTCCATGGAAGGGAAAACATATTGACAAATGTATGTGGCAGGGGCACTGGGCATATCAAGGCAAGTTGGATGAATCCGGAGGAGGCTGACGACCAAATTCAAATGTTATAATTTTACCTGGAGGCAGCCCTATGGAAAATAATAGCAGAATTCATTGTCCTGTGACTCAATTTAAGTCAATTCTACAAATATTTATTGAGTGTCTACTGTGCACAACATATTGAGCTGTTGTGGGTAGATAAAGATGAAAAAGGCCCAGTCCTTGCCTAGTGTCATATACAAAAAAGACTTTGAGCGGCTCTGCCATTAACTGTTCAGAGCTGGCCAAGAAACTCCACTTTAGCTATCAATGTCCACCACTTGAAAAAGCAGGATGCTAAATGAGATGCTCTCCAAGGACCCTTCCTTCTTTGTAATTCTCATGACTCCCTTTATGGTCCTAGAGATAAGTTTCCATCTTGCAACCTAAAGTGTGTAACTAATTACTCATCGCCAGCATACCAGCTTGCTTTTATTCTGTCATCTGTTTCTACTTCATTAAAATGTAATGTACATGTATACGTAACAAGTAGGGTTATTTCATTGCTGGACTGACTTTGATGAGCTAACATAGAGCTAACACGACAGCGATAAGCTTTTTTTTCTATATTTGAAATACAATGTAAAAGCAATTTTAAGCACATTACTTAATTACAAAATGGAATTCAAAAGCTAAGTTTCCTACCTATCCGTTAACGGAGTGATAACAAGTCGATCGGTGCATCCCAGAAATTCATTTTGGTAAATAAAGTCAACATCTGTAATAGACACTACAGTCTGATCCAAATCTTCTTTAAAATAAAATCTACTCTGTTTTAGCCATTCAAAGTCAGTTGCTGATTTGATATGCATTTTTACCTTAAAAACATGAAATACAAAGAGATTGCATACTGAATTGCAATAGCATAAACCACGGCATATGGGCAGTTTTTATTCGCTCATCCATGAACTGATTCTTATTCATTTAAAGTGTATTTATTGAGTCCCTCCTTGGGCCTGACACCAGGCTGCGTAAACAGACAGACATCTGAGGCTTACAGAAAAGGACAAAAGACAAACAGATAAATAAGTAATTGTGATAAAGTATGAAAAGAAATTCAGGGTTTCTGAAAATAACTAGCAAGAGGACCTAACCTAGTGTCAGGTGTCTGAGAGGGGTACTCAAATGAAAAAAAAACAAATAACAAAACCTTCAAAACTAACACCTGGCTCAGTGAATAGAGCCAAACCTCCTGTGGACCAAATGGTACCGGGTTTGATTCCGATCAAGGGCACATACCTTGGCTGCAGGCTCCTCTCCGGCCCAGGGCCCTGGTCAGGGCTTGTGTGGGAGGCAACCAACTGATGTGTTTCTCTCACATCATTGTTTCTCTCTGTCTTTTCCTCTCTCTCCCACTCTTCCTAAAAAATCAATGGAAAAATATCCTCGGATGAGGATTAACAATAAATAAATAAATAAATAAAATAAAACTTAACAAATAAATAAATAAAACTTAACACCTGAATAACTAGGAATTAAGCCAGGGAAATAAAACAAAAGGGGTGGGTGATCGAGGTGTGGGAGGGCAAAATGTTTTAGGCAAAGGCCTGGAAGATCTGGTTGGCAGTTCAAGAAACTGAAAGAGCCTGGACAGTGTGGCTCATGGTTGAGCGTCAAACTTTGAACCAGGAAGTTGTGGTTCAATCCCCGGTCAGGACACACGCCCTAGTTGTGGGCTCGATCCCCAGTAGCGGGTGTGCAGGAGTCAGCTGACCCATGATTCCCTCTCATCATTGATGTTTCTCTCTCTCTCTCACCCTCCCGCTCTGAAATCATTAAAAAAATATTTAAATAAATAAACAGAAAAAGAAACTGAAAAAAGTTCACAACAGCTGAGGCATCCAGGACTCTGGACAGAGGCATAAGAGTTGGGGCTTCCCAGGGCATGAGGAACAGGCCGGGCGTTGCTCGCATGGCAATGGGAAGCCACCGAAGGGATTAAGCAGGAGATGCTCATATGTGCACACGCACCTTCCTACACCAGCAGTACAGCCAAACCCATCAGCCTGCCCGGTCCCCAGTGTAGACCTATAGGGCAAGCAGTCCCAGGCTCCCAGCACCAGGGATGCAAGAGGTAGCAACCAGGTAAGCATGGTTAGGAACAACACCCCCACAACCACACTGTGACTCCATTGGCAAACTTGGAGAAACTCTAGCCCTGCTCATGGAGGGAAATCAACGTAGGAAAGTGGCAAATGGCCCCCTTCACTGCTCTGAATCCCAGTGGCCCATTTCCAGGTCATTCAGCTGACACTAAAGAATGGACCTCTGGTAACCATAGTGTTCAGATCTCTGTCTAATCAAGTTTCCAAACTATCTATAACCTTGCTTTTCGTTGTTGTATTGTTTCATAGCTCATGATGCTGCCTCTCTTCCAGTCAAGAGTTCTGGCTTCCCTCCTGAAGCACAGTTTGTATTTGTCACCTTAAAAGAGCTACTTTTGGGTAACATAACCGGTGCCTCCCCCAGGGTCTCGACTCTCTGACCCGGGACCCCCAGCCATGGGGATGCAGTCAGACACTTTCAACAATCCGTTAAGATGGTGAGGAGGTGATGAAAGAGGATGAAGAAAGAATAGCTAAATTTTTATTGAGTTATTACTGTATAACAGGCTATTCTAAGCATTATACATGAAAAAATAAAATGCAAATATGCTGGCCCAGAAATCTCATTTTAGTTGGGATGCAAATAGATCACGAGTTCAATAGTAATTAAGACAAAAAGAAAACAGTTCCATGGTTTTAATTTGTATAGATTTTAAAAATCCATTCTGTATGGAAAGTAATGCTTTGCTCAGCATTTAAATTTAAAAGAAATGTCTTCCATGGGACTTCAGCTTTAAGAATCAATGAGAGACATACGGACATCAGCCTCAATAGTATGCTCTTAGCAGGTACAGTAATGGATTCCATAGGAGTTTCTAGAGGTGGAGTCCAATGAAAGGCAAAGTACAAAGGAAACTGCAATTCAGTGAAAGTAAATCTGTAGAAGACCAAAAAAATATGGTCTAAGTATGCTTGATAATTAGTTTGATCCAGAGATCAATTCTACAACAGTGTTCATACACATATGAACAACCTGGGAATCTTGTTGAAATGCAGATTCTGATTCAGTACAGGAGTTGGAGTGGGGGAGAGGGGAGTGGTGGGAGAGGGAGGGGGAAGAGGCTGGAGATCCCGCTTTTCTAACAAGCTCCCCGGAGATGGCAATGCAACTGGTTGGCATACAATAAAGAGATCTACATTCCAGGGGAATAAATAGACTGCTGGTCCTTCAATCTTCAATAATATAACTTATCTGATCAGAACTTCTTATCTGATACAAGTTTGAAACAGATTGCCTGTCATCATATTCTTTAAAAAGGGTCCAAAGTTGCATGAATTATGTGTCTCTAATAAAGAAAAGAGGTGCCTTTAAAATGAATCAAATGAAAACACACACACACACACACACAATATTAGTTAAAGACAAAGAGAGTCAAATGTTGGTATATCAAAATCTGCTGGGGTCCCTTCCTTACAACAGCTAACCACTGCTTTAGGAGAACTTGGTCTTGCTCAAGGCTGTTGGTTACTGAGAGTTCTATCTAAAGGTGATTCACATACTCCTCCTCCTACTCCCGCCCTACAAAACCTGGGCCGCACCACGCCCATGATGCCCTGCTGGACACCATCAGTTGGACAAATATCCATGAGAGTTCTCTGAAGCTTGATTCTATTTGATTCCTTCCCAATCAGCCCATCATAACTCAGGACTAAGCTCATCAAAATTGTATCATGACTCTGTTATTTGGTTTAATGGAAGAATTTGTTCACATTGCATCAGTTGGTTCCAGACTTTCAGAATGGCAAATGTGAATATACATATATGGTTGTTTATACCACCAAATATAGATATTTGTAGACATGGTACACACACACACACACACACACACACACACACACACCCCAATTGTGAAAAAGGGTCAGGTAGATAAAAAGGTTCATATAAGTTAGGGAATATATAACACTTAATTTTTCATTATTAAGAGCACTAAATTATTAACTAATACACTAAATTACTTAAAATTAAGAAAAAAAGATACTTTACCAAGTCATCAAAAATATCTCTCTGATGCACATGGATAGTAATTAGAGTTTCAAATTTCACTCTTTCAAACTTGCTTAGGTCATGTGTTGTCTGGCTAATTAGAACATTTAGAATATCCAAAAATTTCTGGTTGGTTATTTGCATGATTTTCCTGTCATCTTTTGCATTATGTAAAGCCTCTTCTGAATCGTGTGTCCACAGCATCTGAATTCCCAGAAGCCCAACCTACAAATCCAGCAGACAAACAAGCCACATATTTAAAACACATCCTACAGTGAAATTTGGTGGTCACTTATTCACATGAAGGCAAACAGGGTTTTACTCATTTTAAACTAAAAAAGGGACATGCATTTCTCCACTTCCAGAAATAGTTTTCCATAGGTCTCTTTGCAACTGCCTACCTCCTTTCTTGACCTCCACTCCCTTTAATATCCATACCTTTAGCTACATCTACTTTTCTGTCTACATATTTATCTAAAGGAGAGAGACAGAAAGTGAGAAGGGTTCAAGAAGCTTGTCCTTTGTCTCCTGATGAAGCTAAGGAAACTGAGAGAATGTCACTTTACCTACAATTTCTGCCCCAGAAAAGGGAGTAAAAGTGATCGTATATCCCCCACCTTCACCTCCTCCATACAGCGGTGGCCCCCTTGGGAGTGTTTATTCATCCGCAAAAGAACAGATACAAAATCATCTGGACCAAAAAGGAACCCACATTTGGCAGAGGATTGAAAGCAGTGTGTGAGGCATGTAGATGCTACTGGGCACTGCAGTCGGTGAAGGGGAATAAAACCCTTTCCTAATCCCTGCCTCCTCCTGCTAGAGCAGCGGCCAATCCCGGGGTCTGCTGGTGAAGACAAATGAAAGCACCTGGCTAAGGTGAGCGACAGAATAGGAGGAAGCAGCCAGTGTCAGGAAGCTCCCAATAGCAAGCAGATTCTAACCCTGATGGCCCCAGAACGGGGCATTAAGATAGGAAAAGCAAAGAGAAACAATACAAAAACAGCAGGGTAAGGCTGACTTACAGACCCTGAAAAATGACTGCATAGGGGTACATTCCAAACACGAATCTTTAAAATGACTATCCTGAGTCACCAACAAAAGTTTAAATTATGTTTTCAACTTAGTTTAAGCAGGCAGAGGATATAATAACAAAAACTGGAGGCTGTCTCATTAAAATAAAAAACAAAGTAGGAATGCTCATTCTTTGCAATATTATTTGATGCCTGTAATTAACACATTAAAAAATACTGAAAGGGAATACACTAAATATTTACAGGCATCATTTCCAAGTGGTAGAAAGATGGAAAATTTTTATTTTCACTTTCATAGTTTTCAAAATTTTTCAAATGTTTGCAACAGGAATCCATTGCATTCATTCATAATCTTAGAAATGTGTTTTGGAAGAAAGCAAAGAAGAAATTTTTTAAATGTCAAATAAAACCTCAAATTAACATTGTAGTGGACAGATTTCAGTTCTTTGGAAAAGTTGCTCTAGAGAGTAAGGTATATAGTGAATGAATATATTTTGAACGAATATATATTCATTACGCTTTAAAGCAATTTTTCCAAAGAACTGATATTCACCCACTGATATTCGCCTGGACAGCCTGGGTGAGGGGCTGAGGGCCATTTTCAGGCTGGTCAAGCCCCCCAGTGGGGACCCTCACCCCATGGAGGCGTGGCCAGCCTGGGTGAGGGGCTGAGGGCTGTTTCCAGGCTGGCCACATCCCCTTCAGGGTGGGGGTCCCCACTGGGGTGCCTGGCCAGCCTGGGTGAGGGGCTGATGGCCATTTTCAGGCTGGCCACACCTCCCGGCGACCCAAGCTCCCAGCCTCTCCTTTTTTTCTTTCTTTTTTTTTCTGGGATTTATTTATCTTCTATAATTGAAACTTTGTAGTCTTGAGCAGATCCCAGGTCCACTGGCAACCCAGGCTCCCAGCCTCTCCTTGACTGGAGGCCACAGCTGGCTGGAAGCAGGTATCTGGGATTTATTTATCTTCTATAATTGAAACTTTGTAGCCTTGAATATAGCCCAAGGCTGGCCAGGGCAAGCGGGAAGCTTGGCTTCCTCTATCACGGGGGGCAACCCAAGCCTCCTGCTCCCTTCAGCTCTGTGGCCGCTGCCATCTTAGTTGGGTTAATTTGCATACTCGCTCCTGATTGGCCGTTGGGCGTGGCCGGTGGGCGTGGCTTGAGCATAGCAGAAGGATGGTTAATTTGCATGTTTCTCTTTTATTATATAGGAGGATATCTACATCCATATCTGTATCTGTATCTATACCTATGATTTTCATATATAAGGTAAAATTTCCCATAAATGGTTTTAGTCCCTGTATATTCTTACTGAGGAGAGAGCAGTGCAGGGGATGGGTGGGCCTGGAATGGTGTGGTGGACAAGAGGGTGGTTGGGAGCAGTGGGTAGGCCTCCCTAACTAGTTCACAGCTACACCAGGCCACTGCCTCCTGAGCATCCTTCCCCCTTATTTCCATTTCTCATAACCATTATTTAAACAGTGTGTATTCTCACCTGTGCTGGAAAGTGACTGAGGAAAGGTAAGAGTTGAAATCCCGAATCACTGATTTGATAGAACCCAGATCGAATTATGTTATGTAACGATGACATCTGCATTTTTAACAAGTCCAGAAGCCAAATCTCTACGGGACCTTTGGCCATAACAGGACCGTCCAACTAAAAAATAGATTATAAATATATTACATATTGGTAACAAATAGTTCTATATTTTACACAAAATATTTAAAATATGAGTAAAATCAACTAATACTATAGGTGGAAGGAACTAGAAAGATCATCTGGTCTAAAACTTTCATTTTATAGATAATGAAATGAGTCCCAAAGAAGTTAGCTGATTATCCAAACTAGTGTGTAACACGGGGCTACAGAACTGGAACCCAAGCCCACCCCCTTCTCATTAGAGAACTGCATTCTCCTCATAACAAAAGTGAAACCACGTTAAATTACAATAATTTTTTCTCCTTCTCTTGATATGACGGCCAGGATCCGATCGTAATCTTTTGCATGAAATGTCACTTCATTTATGTTGTCAGATACTGCAGGGAGGTGTGGCTGTAAGAAGCACAAGACAACACAAAAACATCATCCAGGAGCCTAAATACAAAAGCCACTGAGACGTTTTTAAAAGCCTTAATATTTTTAATCTTTGTAAAATATCAAGAATTCACTTCATTGTTTCAAGAAGAAAAAAAGAAAGAAAAGAACCTTTGGCTGAGTTGGGGGTGCACATTCAAAGCCAGCCCTGCAGAACATGTCCTCCAAGTCCCTGGATGCCCTCTAGACGAAGGAGATCGGAGTAATGACTGTCCCCTTCCTCCCTCCCCAGCTCTGTCCTGCCTTCTCTCTTGGCTCCACCTCTGTCTTACGCAGCAGCTTTTGCTTCTCTCTTTTCTCATCCCCACAACTTCCCGGAAACCAACAGGGAAGCTATCATTAGCGGCTTCCCAGACTCCCAAACCAGAATTGGCCCTGGGATGCCTCCCACTCCCAGTTCTCTGTATCTTCCTCCTGGAAGTATTGCCCTGGGAAATGGCTAAAAGCGTTTGCAAAGCATTCCGGATGGAAAAAAAAAGACAAATCGAAACCACCAGCTCTATTTGATGTAAGAATATTTAGACTAAAATACTCATGATAATGAGTTACAGTTAGCGAGCACGTGATGTATGCCAGATACTCTTCATTGCATTATCTCACGTAATCCTCATGGCAAGCCTGTGAGGTGGGGCCATTAATTTCCTGCTTGTACAGACGAGAAAACTAAGGTGCAGGAAAATTAAGAAGCTGCCCAGGGTCGTCCACCTGCTGAGTGGCACAATCAGTGACCTTTGCCTCAGGCTCCAAATACACAGAAAAATGGACATTGTATAATCAGCATAATTTTTAATGCTCTCTTTCCTGCCTCCACTTTTAAAGTGTTAACTTCATTTTTATTGTCCATCATGTAAGCTGGGGGGGGGGGGGCGGGGAGGGGGGAGTGTTTAGGTGATAGATACTTAGGTTATACCTGTATGGTATGGGAATCACTGGCTTGTCCAAGAATTTCCAGAAGAACTGGATCAGATACAAAGAAGAATCTTGGAAATAGTAATCGCTTCTTCTCCAAATACCTTTAAATAAAGTCGCATTACCAAATGAGACGTTTCGGAGTTATTTATTTTTAGCCAAGACATGATCACTAAACGTCGTCAATAAGATAACAGCAAACACCTAGAGTCATTGCCATTTGCCTCTGAAATGTTTTCTCAGAACCAAAGCCCATGCTACACCATGGACGTCACTTGAGAAAATAAGTGAAGACAAGAAAGGGATCCAGAGCAAGCCTGCCCATCTACCCACCATCTTCCTCCTCCTCAGGAGCGCTCCTGCGACCTTCGAGTACTATGAACCTCATAGGATGACGTAACCCAGCGTGAACGTAATTCATCCCCAAACCAGCACATTTTGAGTGAAAGAGGGGACAACGAACCATTAAGCAAAGACAGCAGCATAAACTTAGATGAAGCAGGATATATGTCCACCCCATTTCACAGAGAGCCTGAGAATGAGCTGCTTTATACGAAAATTACCCATGAATTTGTCTGGTTAATTTGTTCTCTTAGTGCACATTCTACTCCATGCCTGTTGGGCTGAATGGAAGCTCCCTCCCGCCGCAAAAAAAGACAGGTCCTCATCCTGTTCCTTGGAATCTGGGAATGTGACCTTATTTGGAAAAAGGGTTTTTGCAGGTGTGCTGAAGTTAAGGATATCAAGAAGAGATTGTCCTGGATTATCCAGATAAGCCCTAAATCCAAGAAGTGTGAAGTACGGTAGCAATCATCTCAGGTAGAAACTATAGTTTAACTTTAACCCTGCTGTTTGGCTTCTGTACTTATTTGCTTTGTTTAACAATAGAAAAGTTATTTTGATTTTCTGAATTATATAAATCATCCCATTCGATTGAATACCCTATTGATTGTAATGTGAATACCCCATTGGTTGTGGTCATACTGGTTTTAGAAAGCACATTCCTCTGTACCTGGGAACCAGGACAGCACAATTATCCTAAATTGCCTCGGTGGCCACAGATAATGCGTTCCGGTTGACTCAGTGGTCCCAAGATCAGGACCGCACAATTACTCTAAATTGCCTCGATGGCTCTAGACCAGTGATGGCGAACCTTTTGAGCTCGGCGTGTCAGCATTTTGAAAAACCCTAACTTAACTCTGGTGCCGTGTCACATATAGAAATTTTTTGATATTTGCAACCATGGTAAAACAAAGACTTATATTTTTGATATTTATTTTATATATTTAAATGCCATTTAACAAAGAAAAATCAACCAAAAAAATGAGTTTGCGTGTCACCTCTGACACACGTCACCTCTGTCATAGGTTCGCCATCACTGCTCTAGATAATGTGTTCCTGTCAACTCAGTGTCCCAAGACCCGATGGCTCCAGATAATGTGTTTCCATTGATTCAGTGATCCGGAGACCCAAAACTATAATTAACATGCTTACGTCTGCTTCTGTACACTGCTTTTTTTGCAAACTAGGTTCCTCATTCCAAACCCTGGGATGTAATCGATACCTTTGTGATCTTTGCCTATATAAATCTGGTGGTGGGGCTGGGGAGGGCACTGTGAGATTTGGAGTGCATGGCCCCCTCGTAGTCCCGGATTGCAATAAATGTGACTCTTTAATTTGATTTCTTGAGGTGTCCTTCTGTGATTCGCGGGGTACATTACAACAGTGTCCTCATAAGAGAAATACAGGATGAAAAACAAAGTGAATTCAGAGACAGAGAGATTGGAATTATGTAGCCACAGCCAGAAAAATCCTAGAGTCACCAGAAGCTTGGAAAACAAAGACTCTCCCTTAGGGTCTTCAAAATTGCTGACACCTGATTTCATCCAAAACTGTGAGAAAATGGGTTTCTGTCATGGTGATTTGTTACCGCAGCCCTGCAAAACCAATACTATGCCTTCACTCACCCACCCCCAAGTTGAAGGTGTCTTTTTTTGCAGAAAAATTAAATTTATGTGAAATGTTAAATTACTATTTACCCCTCCCACCATCACTACCAAACCAGAAATACAGGGTGTCCCCCAAAAATGTATACACACTGCAACAGCAGATAGCTCAATTTTGAAAAGGAAATGTATTTTAGTAAACACTGCCTTTATAGTTATTCAAAGTGTGTGTATACATTTGGGGGGGGACACCCTATATATAACTTGTTTGGGATAAAACACCAGCACGGTTAAAACAATAGGTCATTTAAAAATTAAACTTACCCTGTAAGTGACTTCTGACACACTTCCAGCTGTTCGTGCAAGTGAGGCAACAGCTGCCCCATGGTTTCATCGCCCACACAGCAGCTGATCACATTGGGGTTCTCGTGAGCGCGCTGCATTATCTTGATCCATGACTTGTCAATATTCTGGAAACGTTTTGCTTCCTAAAAACAAATCCACAGTCAGTCAAAATCAGCATTTAGAAACTTGAATAAAGCAAGTATTCACTTTGGAATTTTCTATAGTTCTTCAAATCAGCCTCTATTAGTCTCAGGCTACATAATTTAAAGGGGCGATTCCTTTTTATTTGAATTAATTCTGAACAACAAAAACCCCAAAGTTATAAAACTGCTTATTGAAATACTGCTTCATCACAACAGAGTTGATCACTTGTTTCCTTCTTTTTAATACGTTTTTCAAAGTACCACGTGATTGTTTTGCAAAGCTATCAACTTCAAGCTCAAATCTAGTCTTTCAGCGCTCCTGGTGTTTTGGTTTGATAAGAAAACTGGAAAAGTGTGAAAATAATTTGATCTCAGGATCCTTGGAATAATTACAGCTCAATAATACCCCAGGAAAAAGAAAGAAGAAAACAGTAAAAACCCAAAACAAAGCTTCATTTACATTTTTTGCAAATTAAATTTTTCTATTTATGATGGATGGCAGTAAGCTTTGCATTCAATTGTGAAAATACCTTTAGAAATTGGCATAATCTTGCCTATTTAAAAACTTTTAAGTGCATTTTTTAGGATGCAACTTTCTGATTAAAAAAGATTTGTGTTTTTAAAATGTGTTATGTAATGAATGAAATCTATCATTTTCAAAACTCTTTTATCCTTGATTTTTAAAAAAATATATTTTATTGATTTTTTTACAGAGAGGGAGAGGGATAGAGCGTTAGAAACATCGATGAGAGAGAAACATCGATCAGCTGCCTCCTGCACACCTCCTACTGGGGATGTGCCCACAACCAAGGTACCTGCCCTTGACCAGAATCGAACCTGGGACCCTTCAGTCCGCAGGCCGACGCTCTATCCATTGAGCCAAACCAGTTAGGGCTATCCTTGATTTTTAATCTGTATAGATCCTGTTTTCAGATGCGGAAATTCAGAAAAAGGGAAATTACCTTCACAGAATAGCACTATTAGTGAGTTATTGGCATTTATTTAAAAGGTTCCAATCAAGCTGTTTTAACAATTTTGTTACATGCTTCTAAGGCGAAATTTCCTTGCCCCCTGGTATATTTCTGAACTACCATGAGCCAACTTACTGATAGTTCATTGCACTTACAGAATACAGATTAATTTTAATTCTATTCTCAGCGGGATAGGATATTAATTCTTGGAAGAGATGAGCTGCTATAATTTAACAGTACCACACCTGAACGCACCTCACATCCTCAAACAACCCGGAGAGTTTTCACTGTTGGAAAATATGTGAATTTCTTCTTTCTACTCATGTAAATCAAAGGTCACTTTTAGAAAATTGTTTTGTAAAGGGCCAGATTGCAAATATTACAGGCTTTGCAGGCCATATAGTCTCGGTTGTAAATACTCAACCCTGCTTTTGTAATGCTAAAGCCTGTAAACAGAACATAAACAAATGGACATGTCTGTGTTCCAATAAAACTTTATTTACAAAAACAGGCAAGTGAGCTATAGTTTGCCAGCCCCTGGTGAATAACCAAGCCATGACTTTTACAGAGACATGTAGACAACACACACCAAATTATTCTAGCAGAGTTACAAAATCCACATTTACCTGAGGCAGCTGTTTGGCAATATCTCCACCTACGAAGACAGCTTCAAGATAAACCCAAAGGTTCTGGACTACCAGCCACTCTTCAATTATGTCTGAGGAAGTGGACAATTTATACACCCAGTTCTGTATATTTTTTTTAAATGGAGCATTATATCTAAAAAGAGTGGGAAAACATTACATTTCAATGATCACTGAGACAGCAGTACGGCCTAACAAAGTAAATTATAGGAGAAACATTCCTTCAGAAACTGTTAGGCCTGTGGGGCAATACAATCCTTAACGGCCACAGGAGGACAAAGAGCAGGAAAACCTTGCTGGACCAGGAATCATAGCATATAAGGAGTTGAAACTGTCCTAAGACCCCTAGTCGCACATCTGCATGCCATCTGCATTCCAAGCGCACCAGCTCAGGCCCCAGACCCACAGAGGACCCAGCACAGATATAGCCACGCTCCACCATAAAAAAAGTGCAAAGTGGTAAGCGCCAAGCCCCTAATGGTATATTCCTTTCATGTGTGGCCAGCATGCTTTTCCTGGACCATTGGATGAATATTTGAGCAGGTTTCGCCAAGGAGGGCAATGATGACAAATCAGAAAAGTGAAAGAGAAAGAACATAAAGGGAAGAAGTCTTGTCAGTGGGGAATCAAGATGTTCAAGATATAAGCTGCTGCTCAGCCAGCCGGCGTGGCTCAGTGGTTGAGCATCGGCCTATGAACCAGAAGGTCACAGTTCAATTCCCAGTCAAGGCACATGCCTGGGTTGCAGGCTGGATATTCCCAGTGTGGGGAGTGCAGGAGGCAGCTGATCAGTGATTCTCTCTCATCATTTATGCTTCTATCTCTCTCTCCCTCTCCCTTCCTCTTTGAAATCAATTTAAAAAAGAGAGAGAGAGAGAAACTGCTCATTTGAGGGAGAACAATTATGGGGACCATCAGAAAAAATAGGAAGGGAAGATGGGTATCATGAAAGGGAGATGGAGGCCATGATTATTAAGGAGGAAAAGTAGTTCATGGAGAGACAGATAAGAGTCAGCACTCTAGGTCAGAATATCATGCTTTGCTGCAACTGCGAAACCGGGCTTTTTATACCCCTAATTACCAAAATAAAATTATAAAAGTTAACCCCAAAGTATAAAATTACCTGTTGCTTAGTAAGGAACCTAAGACCATTAAGCTGTCCTCCATCAAGGTGATGATTTCTGCTGACTCACTTCCTTTGAGTAGAAGCTCTCCCTTTCCCTTAAACGCTGCGAAGCTCAGGTTCTGGTTGGTCCAGTTGTCAGTAACCTGTGCCAGCTTGGCTTCGATATCCTTCTCCTTGATGGCAGAGATGCAGATGTCCTTCGGAGAGAAATCCAAGAATGTGTCACCGCATCCCCATTACAGATTAAGTGCCCTGCAAAACCGCCGAACTTTTTAGCCTGGACCTGGAAGTCATTTAGTCATTGTATGGCCAAGAAATCTGAGGCGCAAGATCCTGGCGTTACAAGTTCAAACGAGAACCTTCTGAGACTCTGACTGCTAATTGTTTTACTTTACCACACACATAAAATGATGAAACTTAAATCATCATTTTTCTTGATTATATTTTAACTGGAGTTTTGGGGCCAAAATTGAGATCATCACAGCTGCTCTATCTCAGCAACTTGCTAGGACAAAAAAGAGAATATATGTGAGAGTCTTGTGAACTCTTTAAAGTAACATATAAACATTGCTATCTTCCTGCCTGGTCAGGCCCTCATATGAACATCTCATTTGCTTAAAAGTCAATTCTATTTTTATCTGATGGATTTTCCTGTTTTTCTGGGTATTTAGCTGAAAAACACCATGATGGACCTAGAGGGTATTTTGCTAAGTGAAATAAGTCAGACAGAGGAAGGCAAATACCATATGGTTTCACTAGTATGTGGAGTCTAAAAACAAACAAACAAATTAAAAACACACAAAAATAATGATCAAACAAAACAAAAATAGACTCATAGAAACAGAGACCAAAGGAATTGTTGCTAAAGGTGAGGGGTTGGGGAGATGGGTGAAAAAGGTGAAGGGGAGTATAGTCAAAAATATTGTGATAAATTTGTATGGTGGATGATTACTAGAATTAGTGGGGTGCTCATACTCTAAGGTATAAAAATGTTGAGTCACTATATTGTACACCTGACACTAATGTAACTAATATAATACTGTACACCAGTGATTCCCAAAGTGGGCGCTACCGCCCCCTGGTGGGCGCTGCAGCGATCCAGGGGGGCGGTGATGGCCACAGGTGCATTTGTTTTAACTTTTTTTGTATTACCTTTCTATTCTGAGTTTAATAAATAGTTTCATAATTTCAAACTTCAATGTTTCTAATTTACACCTTTCTTTACTATATTTTACGAAAAAGGTAGAAACATTAATACATATATCTTTCTGTTTAATTGCCATTAAAATTTTAAAAAAATTAATTTCCAGGGGGCGCTGAGTAATATTTTTTCTGGAAAGGGGGCGGTAGGCCAAATAAGTTTGGGAACCACTGCTGTACACCGACTATAAATAAATAAATGCAACAGAGTACACATTCTTCTCAAGTGCACATGAAACATTCTTCAGGACAAATCACAAAAAACAAGTTCTAATAAGTTTAAGAAGACTGAAATCATGTCAGGCATCTTTTCTGACTATAATATATGAAACTAGAAATTAATGGCAAGAAAAAATGGGAAGAATCACAAATATGTGGAGATTAAACAATATGCTACTGAACAACCAATGGATCAAAGGAGAAATCAAAAGAAACATCAAAATATACCTTGAGTCAAATGAAAATGGAAATACAACATACCAAAAGTTGTGGGATGCAGCAAAACCAGTTCTAAGAGGGAAGTTCATAACGACAATTGCTTACATTAAGAAACAAGAGAGATCTCAAATTAACAACGTAACTTTAAACTTCAAGGAAGTGGAAAAAGAAGAACAATCAAAGCCCAAAGTTAGAAAGAGAAAATAACAAAGATCAGAGTGGAAATAAATGAAATAGATACTAAAAAGACAATAGAAAAGATAAAGGATGCTAAGAGCTAGCATTTGAAAAGATAGACAAACCTTTAGCCAGACTCACCAAGAAATAAAGAGAGGTAAGTCAAGTACATAAAATGAGAAATGAAAGAGGCGATGTTACAACTGATACGAGTGAATTATGAAGGGTTATATAGGAGACCACTATGAACAACTGCACAAACACGAACTGCACAGTCTAGAACAAATGAATAAGTTCCTAGAGAATCACCTATAAAGACTTACTTATGAGGAAAGACAACATCTGAACAGGCCAATTACTAGCGAAGAGTTCGGATCAGTTATCAAAAACCTCCCAACAAACAAAAGTCCGGGACCGGAGGGCTTCACTGGTGAATTCTACCAAATATTTGAAGAAGAATTGATACCAATCATCTCAAAGTCTTCCAAAAAATAGAAGAGGAGGGAACACTTCCAAACTGATTTTATGACCCAGCATTACCCTGATAGAACACCACATCAGAAAATTACAGGCCAATATCCCTGATAAATGTACTAGTAGATGCAAAATGCTCAACAAAATATTAGCAAACCAAAATCAACAACACATGAAAAGGATCATACACCATGACCAAGTGGGATTCATTCCAAGGATACAAGAATGTTTCACTATCCACAACTCAATCAATAAATTAGAAACATCACATGATCATCTCAATAGATACAGAAAAAGCATTTGAAAAATTTCAACACCTACTCATGATAATACCTCTCAATAAAGAGGGTATAGAAGGAAAGTACCTCAACATAATAAAGGCCACATATATGACAAACCCACAACTAATGTCATTCGCAATGGTGAAAAGCTGAGTTTTTCTCTAAGATCAGGAACAAGACAAAGATAACACTTTTTTTCAACATAGTACTGGGAGTCTTAGCCGAAGCAGTTACACAAGTAAGAAATAAAGGCATTGCCCTAACCGGTTTGGCTCAGTGGATGGAGCGTCAACCTGCGGACTGAAGGGTCCCAGGTTCGATTCCAGTCAAGGGCATGTACCTTGGTTGTGGGCACATCCCCAGTAGGGGGTGTGCAGGAGGCAGCTGATCAATGTTTCTCTCTCATCGATGTTTCTAACTCTCTATCCCTCTCCCTTCCTCTCTGTAAAAAAAATCAATAAAATATATTTTAAAAGAAAGAAATAAAGGCATCCAAATTGGAAGGGAAGAAGTTAAATTGTCTCTGTTTGCAGGTGACATAATCTTATATATAGAAAAGCCTAAAGATTCCACACACAAAAAAACCTGTTAGAACTAATCAAAGAATTCAGTCAAGTTTCACAATACAAAGTTAATACACAAAATTAGTTGCATTTCTATACACTATTAAAAAAGAAATTAAGAAAACAAACTATCAAAAAAACAAATTAAGAAAACAATTCTATTTACAATTGCATCAAAAACAATAAATTAATAGAGATAAAAAGACATCTACAATTAAAATTATAAGATGTTGAAAGAAGAAATTGAAGAAGAAATAAGTAAATAGACTATCCATGCTCATGGATTAGAAGAATTAATGTAGTTAAAATGCCCACACTACCTACAGATTTCAATGCAATCCCTATCAAAATTCCAAAGTCATTTTTTTACAGAAATAGAATAAACAATCCAAAAACTTATACAAAACTACATAAGGCCCTATATAGACAAGGCAATATTGAGGAGGAAAAACAAACCCAGAGGCATCATGTTTCATGATTGCAAACTATATTACAGAGCTATAGAAATCAAAACAGTATGGTATAGGCATAAAAACAGAAACATAGATCAATAGGACAGACTATAGAGCCAAGAAATAAAACCATGTGTATATGGTCTATTAATTTATGACAAAGGATCCAGGAATATACAATAGGGAAAGGACAGTCACTTTAATAAATGATGTTAGGAATACTGAACAGCCACATGCAAAAAAAATGAAAATGGACCACCATTTTACATCCTACACAAAAATTAACTCAAAATGGATTAAAGACTTCACCTGAAGACCTGAAACCATAAAATTCCTAGAAGACAATATAGGTGGTAAGATCCTTGACAGTGGTCTTGGCAGTGATTTTTTTGGATCTGACTTCAAAAGCTAAGACAACAAAAACAATAATAAAGCAGTGGAACTACATCAAACTAAAAAGTTTCTTCACAGCAAAGAAAACCATCAACAAAACGAAAAATCAACTTACTGAATGGGAGAAAATATTTATAAATCATAAATCTGATTTAAGGGCTGAATATCCAAAATATATAAAGAACTCACATACCTCAATAGTAAAATAAAACAGCAACAACAAACAATTTGATTAGGAAAATGGGCGGAGGATCTGAATAGACACTCCAAGAACACATACACACGTACAGGTGCTCAACATCACTAGTAGTCAGGGAAACGCAAATCAAAACCACAATGAGATATCACCACATACCTGTTAGAATGGCTACCATCACAAATACAAGAAATTACAACTACTGTTGAGGATGTGGAGAAAAGGGAATCCTTGTGCTCTGTTTGTGGAAATATACTAGTAAATTTGTACAGCTACAATGGAAACAGTATGGAGATTCTTCAAAACATTAAAAATAGAACTACCATTGATCCAGTAATTCCACTTCTGGGTATTTATCTGAAGGAAATGAAGACTCTAACTAAAAAATATATCTGCATTCCCACGTTCACTGCAGCATTGTTTACAATAGCCAAGGCATGGAAACAACCTAAGTGTCCATCAGTGAATGAATGGATCAAAAATGTATGGATATTATTCATCCAGAAAAAGGAGAGAAATCCTGCCATTTGTGACAACATAGATGGACCTTGAGGGCATTATGCTAAGTGAAACAAGTCAGACAGACCAAGGAACAAATTGGTGAGGGTGACAGAGGAGAGTGAAATGGATGAAGGTGATCAAAGGTACAAACTTCCAGTTACAAAATAAATAAGTCCTGGGGGTATAATGTACAGTATGTTGACTGACTCTCTATATATAAAAGCCTAAGCAACTGTTACAATTGAACGACCAGAACGATTGGAACAACCGGTTGACCAGTCACTATGACATGCACTGACCACCAGGGGGCAGACTTTCAGTGCAGGAGCTGCTCCCTGGTGGTCAGTGCGCTCCCACAGGGGTGTGCCGCTCAGCCAGAAGCCAGGCTCATGGCTGGAGAGCGCAGCTGCGGTGGCGGGAGCCTTTCCTGACTCTGTGGCAGTGCTACTGGCGCATCAGGCCGGGATGAGTGCAAGCGGCCCGGCACCGGCTTGGGCTCCTCCTGCCTGCCTGCCACTTGGTGCACTGCTATATCCCCCGAGGGGTCCCGAATTATGAGGGGGTGCAGGCCAAGCTGAGGGCCGCCCCCCGTCATGCACGAATCTGTGCACCAAGCCTCTAGTAGTTAATAATACTCTATTATATATTTGAAAGTTGCTAAGAAGTAGATCTTACAAGTTCTTATCACAAGAAAATAAATTGTATCTATGTGTGATGACCATGTTGCAATATATACATGAGTCATTATGTTGTAAACCTAAATCTAATATAATATTAAATGTCAAATTATATCTCAATTTAAAAAAAAATACCATGCAAACACTAAGCATAAAACAACAACAAAAAAAGGAATCAATTAAAAATCTTAGAAAAGGAAAATATAATATTTTAAATAGTTAATAGACATAGGGGAAAGTTAGAATTTGGAATCTGGAAAATATTCACCAGGTAGACAATACAGAAATAAACATATTTTTAAATGGAATTGTAGTTAAGGCAAAAGGGAGGACAGACTGCAGAACTCCAAAACTAACATATTTCAAATAATCATATTATCTCCCTGAGTTACAGCATTATTTTGCAAAATAAAGAGATGTTCAAGACCATCCCAATTTTGAGGGTGCATTATATGGGGTAATTAGTATTCCCTTGAATAAAATGTCTGCTTGTATAATTTTCATAAAAGAAAAATGAGATATTCTTTAAAGAACCATCTTATAATTTCATGTACCTCGATGTCATCCTTATTTTTAAGGAGTGGTGCTTCCATAATATTTCTAAGACAAAAGGAATCCGATTCCACATCAAATGGGGTTCCAGTTAACTCAGCTATTCGATCCCAGTGTCTCAGCTTCATTGCCTTATTGGTCATCATTTCTAGTAGAGGACACGACTCACTGAAATCATCAATTCTTTTTTTCAGATCCAAAAAAGCCTGCCAATCTTTAAGTCCTTTTGGAAGTTTACGACACCTTTCAGAAAAAAAGAAAAAATATTTCATCTACACATTTCTTTGAAGAAGGTGTTACGTATTTACAGCAATATAACAGAGGACAAACTCATTTGTGATATACCTACAGGATCCTAAGAATACAAGCACTATAAAAATGTAAGTTTAATTCAACTGAAACCCACCTGTTTTGAAATTCCTGCAGTTCTGCATTAATTTTTTCAATGTCAACATCTCCCCAAAGTATTTCGTAATAACCACTAATATTGCCCATTACGGTGTCATACAGCCCATATAACTTCTGCAGCAAATTGAGTTCCTTTCTGAAACCAAATAATTAAGTCATTATAGAATGTATATTTAAAAAATAAGTTCCATTATAATATAAGCAGAATTAATCCAATCAAATAAATCATACATTGTGTGTATAAAATCTTATAGATACCAACAGGCATACGACCCTGTCATTTTTCAAACAAAGACTTTATTAAAGCTCCATGCATTCGGTCAAGTTTACAGCTCTGACGTATTCAAAATCATACTATGACCTGACATTGACAAATGGTTTGATCATTATTACCATACCAATCATTGCAAACAATGTGACCAAAACTTGATAACAAGATCACAGCCAAGGCTGTTTTATTTGATTTTTTCTTTCATATGCAAGCTGGATTTTTATGAGAATGTCTGCCTTTAAGTCTGACATTAACCATTACTTTCCTACCAAAAGCTTTCCCTCCTGTGCCCAAATGGAGTTACATCCAAAGCAAGAATAAAAGGAGGGATTCCAGGTCCATGTAAAAGAAAAGTCTTTCTTGTATAAAACACCAAAAATTGACCCCTCAGCAGCGTTTTGGATTTTGCCAGGTATTCCTCAACCATTAGTTGTACAATAAGGGTCCAATGGACCCAGTTTTAGTTTTTTAGTTCATTGCTTCATTAGCCCTATTTGTAAAAATTAATATTCACAACTGTTATTATTTATTATAGACAATGCAGAGGCTAACGCTAAAATTTGCTTATGTTCTTAATGGAGTAAAATTCATTTTATTTTCCAATTATCATATGGGTACACTGGACCCTTTTCTAAATCTAAGACACATTCTGGAATCCTAGTCTCCTTGTTTTTTCCATTTCTTGTTTCATTTTGCTAATTCATCATCCTAGGAATTATTTTAATTATTAACCACTGATTATTCCCAATTGTGCTAAAATAGTAAGGAAAGAGGAGAATAATGAAATCTCCTCTAAGGATGATGCAGTAGCAGAAAAAAAATCACTATTGCATCAGCCTTCAGGTTTCTTACTTTATTTTTTACTAAATAAACTATTGCATCATTTTGCAAGAAAGTACAAAAAAAAAAGAACTCTGACGATACCATTTTTGTAATCTTTTTATTTTTGTTTCTTTACTTTTCATTTAAAAGAGTTAAGAACTTAATTTTTTCATATTCTACCTAAAACAGCAAAGAGAAAAATATTGACAAAGGAAGATACTTCCACAACATTAAACAGAAAAGAGACAGACCATGAAAGAGACTGTGTAAGTGAAATCTCAGATTGAGTCTTCAGATGATGATAATCTAGATGAGTTTTATTAAGCTCAATGATTTAGGAGTGAACAATATATTTCCGAATATATTGTTCGGAAGGCAAGGGCTTCACATGCAATATTTTGCAACAAAAATGTAGACGATATCATTCTGCCAAAAAGGTGTGACAATGTTTTTTCATTATTTATGATGTTTATGTCAGTTTTATTTGATACAAATGTTGAAGGCAGATTTGTATTCAAAGCAAATAGATGATACAGAAATTTAAAAAATTCACTGAATTGATCATTCAAACCTCAAAGTAATGATTTTTGAATGTATATTGCAAGAAGGATGATGATCTGAGTTTTCAACAGCCTTGAGTTTTAAAAGTGCAAGGCTAAGAAAAACCCGAGGCGATGAAGAGCTAGAAGCCTGGGAGATGGATTTGCCTCCTGGAATCAGTGTTTACAGGACGGGATGCTCCAGGGCCATGACTGACGGCTGCTGAGCAGCTGGCTGCAGGCAGAACTCGGTCTCCATTCCATGTGTATAGATCTTAAAACCAGGACATTATGGGGGGAAAGTGAGTTTTCACTGCTTAAGTTCTTGTTAAATTTTCTAATAAAATTGCTTTTCACCATCCCTTTATTCTTACTTCTGTAAATTATACATAAATTACTTAAAAATGTTTTAAAAAAAAAACAAAAAAGGGTCCATTGGTCCAAATGGTGAATAAGAATGGTAATTTTTCCTAGAATACTAAGGGTTAAAATAAAGCACTGAGCCCTGGCCAAGTAGCTCAGTTGGTTCCAATGTCATCCTCATACGCCAAGGTGGAATAACAAATCGATGTTTCTCTCTCTCTCTCTCTCTCTCTCTCTCTCTCTCTCTCCCTCCCTCCCTCCCTCCCTCTTGCTCTCTCTCAAAAAAATTAATAAATAAAAAACATTTTAAAAAATAAAACACTGAGTCTCAGTTGGAGTATGGAAAAAATAAAAACTAGGACCCTTCGCCGAACCGGTTTGGCTCAGTGGATAGAGCGTCAGCCTGCGGACTCAAGGGTCCCAGGTTCGACTCCGGTCAAGGGCATGTACCTGGGTTGCGGGCACATCCCTACTGGGGGCTGTGCAGGAGGCAGCTGATCGATCTCTCTCATTGATGTTTCTAACTCTCTATCCCTCTCCCTTCTTCTCTGTAAAAATTCAATAAAATATATTTAAAAAAAAAAAAAACTAGGACCTTTTTAAAAATACAGATTTCCTAGGACCCAGCCCCAGAGATTCTGATAGAGTAAGTCAGGGTCAAGGGCCAGCAGACATATGCAATTCTAACACACTTGGTCACTGAGTTAAGCTTGGTGAATGAATACTTTCGGAAAAGAATACAAACCATCTACCCTAAATGGCTGAAGCATTAATTTACCTTCAGACAATTTCAGGTCTGTTTTGCCATGACACTTTCATGCTGTGACTTTGAAAGAAGGCAACATAAAGTTCTTTCCTAAAGCCCAGATCCTACTAAGTTAATACCAAGACAAGGTCCTAATCAGCTCATTTTGCCCTTAAGGAAATTGTATTTAAAATTCTATTAAAACATACTTGTTTAAATCCTAGATACACTGTTTATAATCACTTCAGTTCCTTGGCCTTCAATCTCCATGAATTCTATGTCTGCCCAATTAGGAAGAGCACTTAGCACAAATTCCTTAAGAAGATTGAGAGCTGAGAATGGCTACTCCTTTAAATAAACAAAAGTTACCCAAAATTGCAGTGCTTCCGCACAATCATTGACACCATAAAAAATAGTGAAAAGAAAACAATAAAGCATAGGCTAAACTTGGCCATGAAGACCCAGAATTTTTGCCATGTATTTTCTCCTATTCTAGAACATTCCTTTTGTATATGGAGACTATGTATACAATGGGTCGGGAACAGCCAAGAACAAGGGGAGCATTTAGGAGTGTTCCATGGGCAGCCGCCCTTCTCTACATAATAACGGATTTAATGATGACATGATTCTTCTAATGGACAGTATTTAATTATTTGCTTTTAACATTTATAAAATTTCTAAACTTACCTGACTTTGTGCAAAACCTCATAGTCAGTCACAGGCAATCCAAAAAGTTGTTCACCAGATGAATATGTAACAAACTTTCTCCACAGATCATCAAAATTGGCCTATAAAAGCGTTTTTGAATTGTAGTAAAATATAATTAATTCAGACTCCATTAAAGTAGAATGTATGATAATTGGAATAAAAGCTACATTGAGGTTTATTTAATATGCTCTTTGAAACGACAATTTATGAAGCAAATGAATGCTGATACCAAGCTATGAAAGGAAAAGTTAAGCACTTAAGAAAATTAACTTTCAAGCATTCTAGAAGTCTCCATTTTATATAAAATTATTTCTTTAATAAATTAGGTGGCCCCCAGAAGACCTATATTTCAAGTTCCCATAAATATGTCTGAAACGCAATTTTTAAAAGTGCATTTAAAAACATCCGTAATTCAGGCTTTATCACTAATTTAGACGGGTCACATCTCCTGCAGGGTTCAAATGAGTGAAGTATCCATATAATCCACTCAACCCTATTTTCTCTGTAAGCAACAGAGTCTGTAAAATGAATGATTCCATTTTAACACCATTTGTGATCATTCTAACATTTAAACTGTCAAAGTCAATGCATGTCTTTTGAATTGGAATTGGAATCTCCTATAGTTAGAATGCTAAGTATTAACAGTGTTTAAAGCACAAAAGCCAGGAGAAATAGTCCACCTATGACAAGATATGTGTGCGCTACTTCAATGGTGTAACAATAGCAGGAAGGATCCTCAATGCCCAGCCCTGGAAAACACATGGCATCAGACCCCTCACAACGCTCAGACAGTGCTATAGTTCTGACAGACACGTTAGCCTATTTTTCAGGAGCCAAAACAGGAAGGTATGAAGACAATGGAGGAACTCCAATAAACTCTTGGTTCCTAGAGGGCAAAGGCCATGTTGTTGGGTTTTGTTTTTTTGTTGTTTTTTTGTTTTGTTTTGTTGTTTTTTTATTGATTTCAGAGAGGAAGGGAGAGGGAGAGAGAGATAGAAACATCAATGATGAGAATCATTGATCGGCTGCCTCCGGCACGCCCCCTACTGGGGATCAAGCCCGCAACCCAGGCATGTGCCCTTGGCCAGAATCAAACCTGGGAACTTTCAGTCTGCAGGCCAACACTCTATCCACTGAGTCAAAAAGGCCAGAGCAAGACCATGTTTTGTACTCTTTATATTCCTTGGTGGTTAGTATAGTGGGACTATGTGACTCTCAGAAAAGGAGAGACGAAAACTTCACAGTTAGCATACATTAAAATACTGACGTCTAAAAGCTTGTTCATGTGGTGAAGCAGTGGTTCTCAACCTTGGCTGCACATTAGAATCACCTGGGAATCTTTTTAAAATCCTGATTTCTGGGCCTCATCCTCCGGAAATTCTGTTTCTATGTTATGGGGTGGGGCCCCAACATTAGTAACAAAGAAACAGAATTTCTGGAGGATGAGGCCCAGAAATCAGGATTTTAAAAAGATTCCCAGGTGATTCTAATGTGCAGCCAAGGTTGAGAACCGCTGTGGTGAAGACTACTGAAGATGCCAATCACTCACCCCTTTTCCATTCAGGTTCCAAATAATTTAAAAAGATCCCCAGTACCAGGCAACTGGGGAACAAAATGCCAGCTTTGTCAACAGGCCAGCCAAGTGCCCAGTAACTCCCGAAATCAGAGTATATAACGCTGCACCGGAGAACACTGGCACCACGGCCCAATGTCGGGGTCCGGCTTCTTCCCCAGACCGAGATTTGGCAACTGCTTCTTTGGGAGGACAGAGGGCAGCACCTGCTTTGGGGTAAATTGGGCCTGTAGCTCTGACCCCAAGTCACATGTCCAGACAGATGCATGTCCAACAGCCTGCTGGGCTCACACCCCCAAGCAGAGTAAGCAGAACAGAAGATACTAAAAGGCAAGAGAGGGGCCCTTGCATTGTCTTTTCAATAAAGTGATCGATCACACCCTAGTCCAAGGGTGACACATTAAAGTCCTAGCTGCTGACCCAGAAATTGGTACAAAGTCTATCTTCAAAATATACCCAGGCTCCACAGCTCCTCATCAACTCCTGTACCACCCCCACCCCCCACCCCCGGCCCACGTCACTAACACCTCACACCTGGATTATTGCAATGGCCTCCTAATCAGTCTCCCTGCTTCTCCCCTGACCGCCAACAATCTGTTCTCAACACGGCAGCCAGGGCGGCCACTGAAAACATAAATCAGATCACTTCACTCTTCTCACTTGGAACGAACCCAGGGCCCTTCCTGGGCTGGCCCGTCTTCTTCAGCCTGTCCCTCCTTTCCTCCCTGCCCATTGCTATGGCTCTCCCCTTGCTCTTTCCGCTCCAGCCACACTGACCCCTTGCTGCTTCTCATGTAAGCTCTTACTCAGGGCCTTGGCGCTTGCTCTGCCCAGGCCTGGGAAGTGGCTCCTCCAGATACCTGCCTGGCTCATGCCCTCATCCTCTAGGTCTCTATTCAACTATCACCTTCTCAAGGAAGCCCTCTCTGGCGATCCTATTTTAAATTTCACCTCCTCATTCACACAGCCCAGCACTCTGTGGCCCTTCCCTGCCACCACTTCCCCCCTCCCCCACCACCCCCCCCCACTTATCATCATCCAACATTACTATTCTTCTTCATTACTCATTTTGCTTTTGTGGCTGGGGGTTTCGCCTCTAGTCTAGACATTCTTCTTTTTAGTGCTAAATATGTGAAATAGGTTACATAACTCAATCTGAGTTTTCCTTTGTGCCTTAAGCTAAAGCCAAATGATTTTGC